TTTCCTCTCAGCTTCTTGGCCATGAATATTCCAAAAAGCATCCGAGTTTGTGGCTCTATTTTCAGATAACCTCTTCCACCCTTTTCTTGGAAGGATGAAAAATCTTATTTTTAAAGGTCGGTTATTTTAGATCTGAAAAATCTTTCAAAATTACATGTCCAATTATCAATGAACTATGTCAATTTTTAACGAAAAATCTTTCAGAATAATCTGTCGTTCTTTTTTTCTTTTTTTGCCATTTTTTGAACAGATAAATATTGATGGACATGAAAAGATCGGTAAAATGTCGCCATCGATGAATATTTTTTGAAAATTTAAAAAAATAATAAAATTCATAATAAATATTTAAAATAACAAATAAGTTTTTCACTCTACTTTTTAAATAAGTTAAAATTCATTAATATTAATATTAATATTACGTCTGTGATATATTGTTTTCTATATATATTTTTTCAATTGTTTTGTGATTTTATGGAAATTCAATTTATCTTTCATATGGGGATATTTTTTTCATGTAGATAAAAATTTAATACCCTTACAACTTTGCTTATAAATTTATGTGTCTTTTTTTTTTTTTTATTGTCTTGCACCATTGCCAACAACTATGATATTAATTATCAATTGTCAAATTTGAATATATAGCTCATTTACACATTTGTAACCTCTTTTTTTGTAGGTTCATATATCTCCACTCCGAGTCTGAATCTTAATGTTCTATAGAAAAATATTAGTAAACTATATATTTAACATATATTTATGTGAGTTTACTTATTTTTATAAGTTATATTTATAAATTTTACCACTATTAAGACAATATATCAACTAATAATATGAAAGAGAACAATATATTATAAATGTTCCATGAACTCAATAATTTCGTGTTTTGAACAAAAACGAGTATAACTCAGTGATAATTGACATATATCTCCAACTAAGAGATCGTGGGTTCGATTTCTCACTTCTAGATGTTGTATTCAAAAAATAATAATAATAATAATAACAACAACAACAATAATAATAATAATAATAATTTCGTGTTTTGATATAAATGTTATATTATCTTTAGATTAAAAAATTTAGTTGGTAGCTACATTATCATAGATTATATTTAATTACTTAGGCCGTTTGAGAACCATTTCCTTTTTAATTTTTGGTTTTTGATTTTTAGTTTTTTAAAAATAAGGTTGTTTGATAACCAATTCAATTTTGTGTTTTTTGTTTTTCAAAAACCAATTTGTCAAATTAGATTTTTTTTCAAAATCTAATTTTTTTCCTAATACTCAACTTTTTTTTTCTTTTTATTTCTCATATTTATCTCTAAAAAATTTCTTTCTCACCCTAAATTTTTTTATTTCTAAATTTCTCCCTACAAAATTAATTTTTCTCTCTCTAAAATTTTCGTACTTTGAATATTTATTATTATTTGTCTCTCTCCAAAATTTTCATATCTATGTATTTTATGTTTTATTCTGTTAAATAAATTTCTCTGTACAAAATTTATTTTTCTCTCTCTAAAATTTTCGTACTTTGAATATTTATTATTATTTATTTCTGTCTCCCAATGTTTCATCTCTATATATTTTTATTTTTTATTCTGTTAAATAAATTTCTCTCTACAAAATTTATTTTTCTCTCTCTAAAATTTTCATAGTTTGAATATTTATTATTATTTGTATCTCTCCAAATTTTTCATCTCTATGTACTTTTATTTTTTATTGTTTTTGTAACATATCAGTTTCATTTTCTCTCTATACAAATTTAATATTTTTTCGAACTTTGTTGTCTCTAAAATTTTGTCTTTTATAACTTTTCTTTCTCTTCCTCATCTATTTTTTCATCTTCTTTTTCTCATTCAATTTTCTTTCACTTTAATTTTTATTTATCTATGTATTTATTTATTTTCTCTAAAAATTATATTTTGAATCTTAATTTTTTCTCTAAATTTTTTTCGACTATAATTTTTCTTTTTCACATAGTCAGGCCCCAAAAATAGAAAATTCATGTCCCAACCCCGTCCCAGTTCCATTTTTTAAATAAGTAATATATATTTATTATGTTTTTTTATTTTTTAAATTCTAAAAATAATTATAAATAATTATAAAACCAATAATTTTTCTCGATGACATCTTTCAGACTGAAGAACGAGGTAGAGATGGGGATTAAAATTTTTTCACAGGCACGAGAATGGAAGATAGCATCCTCACTCACATCCACATCATTGTCATCTCTACTTTACATACAATTTTCTCTCTTATTTTCAATTTTTTAACTTCTTAAAAACAGAAAACTAAAAAAAGGTTACCAAACGTGTTTGGTTTTCTATTTTTTCAAAAACAAAAAACAAAAAATGGTTATCAAACATATATGGTTTTTGTTTTTTAAAAACACAGAACCAAAAACCAAAAACTAAAAACAAGAAAAACCAAAAAGAAAAAATAGAAATGGTTTTGATAGGGCCTTAGTAATTAAGTCCTCTTAATACATGAAATGATGTTTTAGTCATGAGATGTATAATATATTATAACTACCTAAAATGTTATATTTCCATAAAAGTGATGCAATCTAGTTTATTAGAATTAAGACTAATTTTGGTTGATGAAGTATACTTCATTCCAAAATTTTGCCTCCAAATATTTTAGAAGTTTCCATTTTACTTTCAAGCCCTTCACAAATTTTTTGTTAACTATATTCCTACACAATAACACAACACTTAAAATTAAATAATGGAATAATAATTTCGAATTAGAAAAAGTATTATGTTATATGAATGGAGGCTTTTATAATATTGTGCAACTTATATTTTTCTTCAACTCAATTATACTTGGAAGGTTGAGGTATCTATTTATGAACTAAATTTATGTGACTCATCGGCTTAAATTTTTGGGTTGAGAGGTGGTTTAATCATTTTTAATATGGTATCGTAGCGGGAAGGACACTTATTCAAACCACCTACATTGTTATTTCCTCCAAGGTACTCATTTAATATAGTGTTAAGAATCTAAATGAGGAAGAGATTTTTTTTAGTACAATAAATATGGAATGTGAGAGTTTAAACCTTCAATTTCGTGGAAATAAGTAGATGTACAACAAAACCATACTCGTATGAGTGAATTGTCAAAATGTTGATCAGATGGATGAGTTTTTTTTTTTTTTGACCTAACAAGATTTATAAGGTATATGATCAAGCTACATCTGTCCAATTGATTTTGAGATGAAATCTCATGAATCTTGATATTGTATCAGATTCCAACAAGCTCAAACGAGCATCGCCTCAAAAAATGTGGAGATGGAAACCCTATTTATCTTGATAACCATTTAATTAAAAAAAATATTTTCTTCAAAGAGAGACTCATAAAAGTAGCAATTTTCCGAGCTCAAATACAATGGTAAGTGATACCACAAGATCCCATATTATTACCACTACATCATCTATAAGATTCTTTTCTTTAAGTAGGGTATTAAATTTCTATTGAAGTATCAAAATATTCATCAATATTTCCCTATGTAATAGGTTGGACATCAACACAACGGGTGAATCAACATCCATAGTATTTAAAAAAATCAATAAAACATCTTAGTATAAATAAATTTTAATTTATTTAAAAATAGTAAAATATTTATTTGCTCATTTAAATATTTGTTATAAATTTTTTATTTTTACAATATTTCGATCAAATTGATACCCGAACATTTCAATCGACATCAACTCTACAACTTTATTTTAAAGTAATCTATGTGTTAGTGTTTTCTCTTTTGACTTTAGGGTTTGTCAATATTTTTTGGTCCATTCTCTCTCACATTGTAACATCACATGACCCCTAAAATGATTTTAACCCGTTTTTTCTTCTTTTGAGGGATAAGACAAGAGGATGCGAATTTCAACCAACTCTCTTGCTTTTCCTCCATGTGAACAAGCAATAATATTTTTCTCTGCATCACCAAACTAAGATTCACGGGATGAACAGATCTAAATAATTGTCCATTCTCATACCAATTCCCATGGTCCCATATTGATTGAACCAAAAATAAAACATATACCATGCTTTAATTTTATATATTTATTATTATTATTATTATTATTATTATTATTTTGCCTTAACAATACTAGGAAATAATGACATCATATAGTATGATATTTCCATTCATATATATATATATATATATATATAAATATATATATATATAATATAGTTTTGTTTTGAATGATTCCCTCCACCAACTTTGCTCGGACAGATCTATCTTTGCCTGCTCGGATGACTGTCAAGTTCTTATAAAGAAAAGAAAAATAAAATAAAATCTAACTTCTTGTTTTGAGAATGATGTGTTTAAAAAAAAAAAATTGTTTTGGATGCATTGAAATTATTTGTGAGTAACGAATTTTAGTGTTTTCAATTGAGTTGTGTTCTGTAAAATAGTGATTTTGTCTTGAAACAAGGATATTCATTTTCTTAAGTAAGAATAGGACATGAAGAAATTCAATAAACCATTACAACAAGAAAGTAATAATATATACGAATAAATGCAAAGTAAATTAGGATGAATAGTGTAACAACTCATTTAATCATATCTTAGCGGATAAGACATCTATTATCATCTTTTTTTATCCATCCCCTTAATAATTGTTGAACTCAAAAGGGAAAAAAAACCATGAATTATGTAATAACTATTTTTCTTTTAAAGAATATAACATCATAAATACCGTTGTGGAAATTTCAATCTACAATCCTTTAAAAGAGGTATCAAATGTGGTTAATGAGATTGGAGTTAAGTGGTTAAGTTGTGATGCTTTAAACTCTTTGAAAGCGTGGCAATGAAAGTTACCAATGATGAGACTATTGCTTTCTCTTGGTATTCAAAATTGACTTTCTTTTATATTTATGACATTTCCACAATTTTTCGGAACTAAAGCGCTTTCACTTAGTCTCCATCTATTGTATCTTCTTTACATACTTTTTTGAATGAATTATGTGTTTTTATTTAAAAAAAAAAAAAGTTACCAATGAGAGGGGATGCAATAAATATTTTATTCCCCAGAAGAAATTACACCTACAAATATCTTCAAGATCAGCAATACATTTTTGATAATTTGAGTAAAGATTCAACCCAAAAAGGGACAGACACTATCAATACAAACGAAAACACATACAAGCACACAAACAAGAGACTTTTATAGCTGCAAAACAAGCAAATCAAGGACATGCAATAAACAGAAAAGTAAAATAACTTCTTTCTTCCTCCTTTGTTTTTCCTTCCTTTTTGAAGTTCTATAATGGAGTAAATTAGGGACACTGGAATCCACGAGGAGCATTTCTGCTACAAACGTTAAGCAGGAGGCTGAGATTAATTGGGAGGTTTATATTGATGCCCAAAATGCTTGCTCTGATTGCAGTGCAAAGACAAACAGCAGCTTCAAGGTCTGCCAACCCTTGAATTAAGTTGCAGCATGGAGTCACTGGTGGGCGGCCAATGGTTGCATTAACAATGTTAAGCACTCTAGCACATACACCTATCTTGAGAGCATCCCTAGGGCAACTAGCTCCGCCAGTTGCCGGAGTGCCACCGGAACCAGGATTGCCTCCGGAGCCCGGGTTACCCCCTGAGCCCGGGTTGCCTCCAGAGCCTGGGTTGCCCCCTGAACCCGGGTTGCCTCCGGAGCCTGGATTACCCCCTGAGCCCGGGCTGCCCCCAGAGCCCGGACTACCCCCCGAGCCTGGGCTGCCCCCGGAACCTGGACCACCCCCTGAGCCTGGGCTGCTCCCGGACCCTGGGCTTCCACCAGACCCTGGGCTACCACCATAACCTGGACGACCACTGGAACCCGGGCTCGGTTTTGGCCTTGTTACCGGGTGAGAGCATGTGCCACAAGCAGTGACAAGGGAGAAGAAGAGAAGGTTGAGACAGAAGAACAAAGCAATTGAGGTTGTGGTTTTGGGAGAAGCCATGTTAGAAACCCTAGAGATGTTATATCCTCCCTGTGTACTATAGAGAGCTTCTTCAGCTAAGGATGGAGAAAAAATGTAGTGATGGGAGGGTTTTTATAGGGTTTTAAGAAGTGGGTGTTGGGGATGTAAGTGAGATAATAATTTAAATGCTTAAAATAAAAGCCATGCACCCATGTGTTTGCCCTTTAGACTTTTAGGCTGGCAGATAAACAGGTAAATCATACTAACAAGAACTTCTTTGGACATTTGCGAGGGAAGTAAGGATGATTCTAAATTGTGTTAGGAGATCTGTCAAACTCAATTCGTCACTTAGAGTCAGTTCGATAACGTTCCCCTATCATATTTCTTGTTTTCATTTTCAATTTTTGAAAATAAAAGTTTGGTATAACTATTACTATTTTTTTTAATTATTTTAAAAAGGGCACACCATATATTCAAAAAAAAGTAGGTGAGAAACATACACGAGGAGATTAAATAAAAACACTCAAGTTCAAAGAGATGATGAAAATGTAGTAATTACAAAAGAAGGACGATTTTGTGGATTAAGAGGAGGCAACCGTTCTAATGTCCTACAATTTAGCCATAGGTCCAGGCGAGTGTTTCTTTCCAGCAAAATAAACCAAAAGATCGAACATAAGTCATTACATGAAACAACATACTTGCTGTTGGAAAAAGAGATATTGATATACTCTAAAATGAGAGCATGCATCGACTCTGGTAGGATCCTTTCTCATTTTTAAAACATAAATTTTAAAAACAACAAAATTAATTAACAAGGACTCCATGGCCCAGTGGATAAGGCGATCGTCTATGAAACATTTTCTTTTCAATGTGGGATCCTTTAACACAAACAACATAAATGAGAAACAACAAACAACAAACGAGTGATTACCATATAGGCTCCTAAAAGTCTCATGTCAAAGCTAACCTAATTCAACCATGTAATATCATTTATTCTAAAAATTTGTCTACAATTTGGGACCGTTTGATAATGCTTTCTTTGTTGCTTATGCCAATGTATTGTTTCTTTTATTGGAATAAAAAGCAAAAATGTATTTGGCAACTATATATTTTTTGTTCACAAATTTTAAATTGAAAAAAAATCAAATTTCGAAAATTATTTTTTTTAATAATATTTGACTTCTTCAATAAAATATTAAAAGTTATTATGTTATACTTATTTTTTTAACGTTTATTATGCATTTTATAAGAAAAAAAATGATTTTTTTACGTTTTTAAAAAATTGAAAACCAAAACAAGAGTAAAAAAAATTTCTTCCATGGATTCACATACAATTTTGATAACATTTCTCGTAGAGATGTGATAAGTTACCAAATACTTATATTTTTCCCACAAAAATTGAAAACGAGAACCGTTACAAAACAACACGTAGCATCTCATACTAAACTATCTATTATTTATTATGAATTCAAAATCTACCAATAAATACAGTTTTAGTAAACTTAAGTTTAACAAAATAGTATCCAAATACAGGTTTAATAAACGGAGACTTAACAACTCTAGTTTCTACACACCCAAGCAGAGACTCAACAAACTTATTTTCTACGCAACCAAGTACAAACTTGAAATTCAAACTTAACAACTGTCATACTTAATAAACTCAACAAATCTGCTCAAACGTGCGAACCAAATAGGCCGTATGAGATAACCCACCAACTAAAAAACATCCTAAAGCCCTTCGTTTACTATTTTTCTCAATCTCTCAGTCCAAAAACAGCAAACTTTACTTTAAATTTGCTGTTGAATGAGCCATTCAGATTTCTCCTTGAATTGGCATAATTGCAACATCCATTTTGAGCAACTTTAAACCAAATACCCATTTGGTAGAAGATTCCAATTATAATCTTCAAATTAGGGTTTCTTCAGATTAGGGTTTAAGGCTCAGATATATCTAGAGAGAGAGAGGTCCCATGTGGTTTCAGATTCACATGTTTCAGTCCCTACCAAAAGCTTTGGCGTAGCATAATGAATGATTAATTCTACTCTAAAGAAAAAGCCTCTTTATATCACGGGAGTTTCTTAGCTTTTTTAATGTTACTTTAACCAAAATTTTCAACATTTACAGTTATTGATATCTATCTAATCTTTACCTGTGATTGGATTTTCCGATTTTTAATTTGATTGATGATGGTTTAGTAGGTAGACTATTGTGATCATTTCGTACTTAATGCGTTGTCATTTTATAATTTCACACAGTTACTTCACTAAAAGTTTTATTGAATTAATGGGTTGGAATTATATTTTTGTTTTTTGGAATTGATGTCGAGTGACTTACGTTAGTGGATCACTATAATTGGAAATGTATTGTTTGGGCTAAGCAACGTTGTGACCAACACACAGGATTCTAACATAACACTTAGGAGCCGTTTGTTACGTGGGAATCTGAAATCCCGTTGGACGGACATCTAGATTGTCACGTTTGTTTTGGAGTGAATGTAGGATACTCGAGAATTGAGAATTTTGAGATGCCCTTTTGAAATACGGATTTTCAATATTGCTGTGTTGAGGGCATATACTCTTTACATTTTTGCCCTTCATTTTTTTCTCCATATATTTTCTTTCATCATTTTCTTTTAATTTTTTCTCAAAAAAATTCCTTATTTTTTATTTTTAAATTTATAATTAAAATAAATTAATGTACTTATCGTCTAAAACTTTATGATATTAAATATATTTGTATATTAGATTTACATGTAAATAAATTGCAATTAAATTATATAATATCTCCATTTATTTTTAATATTTTGAACGAATTATATTATTAATAATATTTCTTATCATAAATATATAATTTTAAAGCAACATTTATTTTACGACCAATATATCTGTGATATTTTTCTTCTTAAAAAAATATAATTTGATAATAGGATAAATAAATTTCACCCAAGATAACATAAATTATATGATTTTCTTTTTGGAAAACTATTCAAGTTGAAAATGAAATTTATATTAAGTTAATATGAATTAATTTGTTTAATAAAATAACATATAAAAAATAAAAATATTAAATTAATTCAAATAAATCTATTATATTAAATTAATTTATAAATTATATAAATATTGGTAAGGGTATTTTTTGAACATTCTACAAATTCAACACATTCTCAAGAATAAATCCCGCAAAACAAACGTGTCTATTCAAATATATTCCTGGATATCCTTATAAATTTTCTTAAAAAAAACATGGTTATCTAAAGATGTCGGACATCTAAAATTTCAGGCATCTACATCCTCAAAAAACAAACAGCCCCTTAAAGGTAAGTGATACCGGAATGCTTCATGTCCTTTGCCACCGCTCCATCCTCGGGACAATTAGTTGGAAATTTAAATCTACTTATTTTTCCTCGTGACTTTATCAAACTTGCAAAGAGTGGATCTATTATTGAATTTAGAGTCATTGAAAGGTTATAAGACTCATAAAATGATTTAGAAGTTTTTATAATCATTATTTTAATAATAAATATATTATATAATACATGAAATATTCAGTATTTTTAAAAATTTTATTATCAATATATAATTTAACGAGAAATTGTAATGGTTGACAAATAGTTTGACCATATTTGTAAATATAGTACAAAGAATAAGATTTTAAGCGAGCGTCTAATAGACATCACTCATTGATGTTTACCGATATTTCTGCTAAATATGCAAATGTTTTAAGTTTGTGCTAAAGCCCCTCAAAATAATGACTCTTTTGGATTTATTGGACTCTAATAATATCATATCAAGATTCATGAGTTTCAGTTCTAAACCATTGGTAATAAAAGAAGTAGCTCATATATATTATAAATTTTTGCTCGTCCCTCATCTTTTTTAATGTTGGATCTTTAACCTATCCGTCAAGATGGTAGCTCTTTTGATATGCGTTAAGATGGTAGCTTTTTTAGGCTCACCAGTTTTGGCCTGGATCCCATTTTTAGATCGGAGGCTCGTTTGAACTTGTTGGACTATCTCATAGTCAGTTGGTTTTGAGACGAAACTCCATAAATTTTGATGAAATTCTTTTAATATATAAACAATAAAAATAATTTAATTTTTTAAAAAAAATCAGAGATGAAATTGAGACGTGATATATGCATCAAAGACAAAATTATAAATCTAACCTATTATAAATAAATATATTTCTTAATTAATTACAACTTTTTTGTATTTAGATTAGTCCTTTTTTGGTATTAAAATTCAAATATTACTAATCTCTTACTATCAAGTTGGCTGATGTGATATTAAAATTACTGCTTTTTGGTCTTCAAAATCGACCTAGTTTTATAATTATGACATTTCTACCATTTCTCTAAACTACAGTATTTTCACTTAAATCTCCTCTGTTCTTTTTGTTTCACATTTTTTTTTAATGAACGATGTGTATTTTTTAGAAAAAGAAATGTTAAGCTATTTAGAGTAATTCAAAGAGGATGACTTCAATAATAAGCCAAATCCATCCTTCAACTTATTCAAAAGAGAGATCATACTCAAACATTTAAAACTTTAATTTTCAAAATTTGTTGACTTTGAAGCTCATAATTGCCGGAACTATTTTTTTTTCAACAAAATAGATTTCTTCACGATCCTTTTCAAATCTAAATCAAAAATCAATTTAGTCCCAAGATTATAGCCAATGCCATGATGTTGAGGAAAGCTAAAAATCCAAGTCAAAGCAACAAAGAGTTTTCATAATTATCCGCGCGATGAGTATATTTGTGTCTTCTTCCTTTTTTCATTTTTTTTTTTTGTTGACTTAGAAATTAAAACAAAATATTCAAAATTGGATCCAAATCAAGGTTTAAAATGTTGATATCAACTGACATGTCGAGGCGTCAGATTTATTAAAATATCGATAAAAATATCTATAAAATATGAATGTTGCTTCTGAAAAATTATAAAAATAAAAAACTCATTATAAATATTAAATTAACATATAAATTAAATAAGTTAAAATTTATTAATATTAATACTATGTCTAGTATATTTAGTTGATTTTTTTATATTTAGTTGATTTTTTTTGTGATGCAATAAAAATACCGATTTATCTTTTACATCGATATCAAAATTCATAGACTA